AGGGCGCAAGGACTTTGTGGACAAAATTTTAAAAAATAGCTGGTGGTTTAATTGAGCTTGTTGACCAACTTGCAAAAGAAGCAGGAAATAAGAAGATGAAGGCCCCTGGTGCTCACAGCTTGCTGAGATCTACAGCAAGACAGAAGACCAATAGCAGCAACTCCAAGCACTAACAGCAGAAAAGAATGCAGCCTGAAGGGTATCGGATTGAATATGAAGCTTTGTGGAAAGGAGAAGCATAACAAAATGAATTTATTGACCAATTTATTTCTTAGAAATGAACTGAAATTTTCCTTTTCTAGCAGGAGGGCAAAAAAAAAAAAAAAGAAAAGAAAAAAATCCACAATGTCCAAACCCAAAAAACCTCTGTATCATTCTGGTGACCTAATGACCCAAGAGTGTGGTGTGAGATGGCATGGGAAGAACTGTAGGATCTCTGGAGGCAGGAACACAAAGCCGGGGGAGCGTCTTTCAGGTGTTTACCTGCAGGTGAACCTAGGGGCCACTGCGGTCCAGGCTCCCACCCTTTGCGCTCTCAGTCTGAACTGAGCAGCGTGTAAAGTTTGATTTCTTTTTTAATTTTTCATAGTTTTGGGGGGAAAAGAAATAAATTATTATTTACAAGTTAAAAAAAAACAAGATGAAGGTAAAAGATGGTGATAAAAAACTAACCAGCTGATTTAAGAAGGAAACAGAAAATCTTATTCTATTCAAACTGAGGGTTATAACCTGGGAGCAACCTCCCAGAAACCTCTGCGAACTCTTCCGCTCATTAGAAGTCAAAGCACAGTTACCTACATTTCTGAGACAGAGCGCTGTACATAAGCACAGTTTATACAGTCCAGATCTACAGGTAGGAAGTGAGGAGTGGCTCATGGGTCACTCTGGCCCCTTACAAGATTAAAAAGAGAGGTTTATCTCCCCAGGAGGTGGGACCCTTAATGAGATTAAAAAGGAAGTTTAGGAAAGTTATCTCCTAAGGAGGTCTGCTTAATGCAGATACACAATACACCCTAAAGGGAAAGGAAGAGGCCCAACAAAGAAAAACTCTATGTTAAATCTATCTTGCCTTACAATAAAATGTGCATTTCATTTTATCAGAGGAAATCCTGAATAAGAATTTGCACTGTCCTGGGTTGGGTTTCACTTTCATGCATTGGAGAAGGAAATGGCAACCCACTCCAGTATTCTTGCCTGGAGAATCCCAGGGACCGGGGAGCCTGGTGGGCTGCTGTCTATGGGGTTGCACAGAGTTGGACACAACTGAAGTGACTTAGCAGCAGGTTGGGTGAATACTCCTTTGTGGGGCAGGTTGGAAGAATCTGGGAGACATTTCCCCAAAGATGAAACTGACAGACTCACTACTGGGAGCCTGTACATTAAGAAACATACAAATCCAGAGTGTCAAGGTTGAATTAGCAATTAATAACAGATAACATTTATGGAACGCTCTCTACAGGCAGACACTCTTCCCAGCACACTGTATCTGAACCTTGTGCAATGCATGGATGTACTGCCCCTCTTTTACAGATAAGAAAAAGAAGGCAAAGCCAATTAACTAGGTAGTCAACACAGCCAGTAAGGAATCCCAGGTAATCTGGGATTGAATCTGGGGCTGAATCCCAGGCAATCTGACTCCAGGGACTGTTGTGTAACTCTTATTCCATACTAGTTTTCCAAGGGTACAGAAATGCCACCAGTTAAAAAAAAAATTAAAAAAACATGAAAAATCGACTTCAGGAAAAAACAGAAAATGGCATAAAGAAAAGTAATTATAATTTTCTATATGGTTGTGCTGTGAATGGCATTTTTATATTCATAATAATGTGAATATTAACTATTGACCTGATATTGTGATAACAGTGTTATTAAAAATACTGGAGGATGTGGAAGGTGCTTATGCACAGTGGAAATAGGAAGAAAGAGGAGAGCTAAATCTAGATGGGGAAAAAATGGAAAGAGTGACAGACTTTATTTTCTTGGGCTCCAAAATCACTGTGGATGGTGACTGCAGCCTTGAAATTAAAAGATGCTTGCTCCTTGAAAGAAAAGTTATGACAAACCTAGACAGTGTATTAAAAAGCAGAGGCATTACTTTGCCTACAAAGGTCCATCTAGTCAAAGTTACAGTTTTTCCAGCAGTCATATATGGATGTGAGAGCTGGACAATAAAAAAGGCTGAGCACTGAAGAACTGATGCCTTCGAACTGTGGTGCTAAGGTAGGCTCTTGAGAGTCCCTGGACGGCAAGGAGATCCAACCAGTCCATCCTAAAGGAGATCAACCCTGGGGGTTCCCTGGAAGGACTGATGCTGAAGCTCCAATATTTTGGCCACCTGATGTGAAGAGCCGACTCACTGGAAAAGACCCTGATGCTGGAAAAGATTGGGGGCAGGAGGAGAAGGCAGTGACAGAGGATGAGATGACTGGATGGCATCACCAACTCAGTGGACATGAGTTTGAGCAAGCTCCAGGAGATAGTGAAGGATAGGGAAGCCTGGTGTGCTGCAGTCTATGGGGTCACAAAGAGTCAGACCCAACTGAGTAACTGAACAGCAACAATAAAATGTTTCTAAAAAAAAAACCAATTTGCAGCCATAGTGAATATAAGCTACTTGCTGTTTTTCTACTTACTTATGTTCAATTTTTACTTTCATATTATTTTAATCCTAATGAAGCTATCATTACATTAAAATTAATGTTCAATTCAATGAGTATGTTAATTTCAAACCAATAAAAAGGGATTCAGTGGATACTAAATCTCTAGGTCAGACTCGAGTTGCTCTGACTCCCTTTCCAGAGGAACACAACGATCAGTTTTCTGCATGTCCTTTCAGAGACAGATTAAATGAGTTCACGTACATGATGAACTTAGAACATTGCCTAAAATGAAAAGTGAAGTCGCTCAGTCATGTACAACTCTTAGCGACCCCATGGACTGTAGCCTACCAGGCTCCTCCGTCCATGGAATTTTCCAGGCAAGAGTACCAGAGTGGGTTGCTATTTCCTTCTCCAGGGGATCTTTCTGCCCCAGGGACTGAACCCACCAGGCGGCCCACACTGCAGGCAGACGCTTCAGCATCCGAGCCTCCAGGGAGGCCAGAACGCTGCCTAAGTCACACCGAATGCCAAATGTCTGCTACTAGCAACAGTCGCGGAGGCGGCGCAGATGGTAGTGCTGGTGGCAGGCGGCGCGTACAGTTCAATCATTTTCACTGGCTGCATGATATTACGAAACAATAGGGAAATACAATCTTTGAACTATTCTCTTTACATAAAACATGAATGACAAAATGTTACTACAGTTCCCATAATCTCCTAAAATAAATACGGAAACTGGGGGTTTTAAAAAGCAAGTTATCTATACAGCTTGCATGTCCTAAGATCTGAATTACAGTGTTAGAATGAGCAGTAGGAAGACCTGTGCTAATGTGACACCGAGTGTGGAAGAGTCGGACAACCGCTCACCCTCACCTCTAGTTAAGTGTGTATAATAGGGACCTAACAACTAGCACGGTCAGCTAGCATATGTTTATCTGCAGAGGTTTTATAACCAAGCCCATGAGCAAACGAGATTTTTAATTTAATTAATTTCATCAGAGGAGTAACTGCTTATGGTCTCTGCTTAAAAGATAAGGTGACCAGCAGCCTCCCTGTTAACTTTGTAAAATACATTTGAAACTGTAGAGGTACCTGAATTTCAGTAACTTATCACACAAACAGATATGCTCTCTTCTAGAACATGTTTTAACAGAAATAACCGGTTTCACAGCCTCCCGGGGTTTGAACTGTGATTTTACCGTTTATGGTTGGGTGACCTAGGATAAGTTATTGTACTTGACTTTTCTGAGCTTCAGCTTCTTATCAGTAAATGAGGGGGAGGAGGCTGTGGTGTGAAGGACCATACGAGTATTTGCTGCTATTAGCAGTGGTATATGATTTAATCTGATTTTCCAATTTAATCTGATTCTAGTCACTGAACATTTTTATGCTCAGTTAAGATTAAAGTAATTTCACTTAGAAGAGAACCATATCCAGAGTGGGTCTTAAGTAATTTATGAAGCCATGAAAGTATACCTAAAACCCAAAGTCATTATTCCACCAATAGCAAAGTTTTAGCCTTGGCATATTTGACAACAAAGCTGAAGTATACGGCCCCATCCCTGCAGGAGAGCCAACATAAGACACACTCTAACGCAGTCCACAGCATTTCCCAGAGGATGTAAGAACTTGGATGTTAAAAATGATTAATGTTAATGAGTATTTAGAACTCTTGGAAGGATAGCTTAATTGACTACATAATCCTAGGGGGCTAAAAGTGCAATGTAAAAATGGAACCCTGGATTTACTTGAGTAAACTTTTGAAGCCAAGACAATTAAACAAGGATAGGAATCCATGTGCTTCAAAGACATTATTTTAATACTGTTCCATTTAAAAAGTCATCAAGAGCCAACGGACAGTGGGATTAGGAAGGAAAAAAACACTACTAATTTACACTGGAGTTGTGTCATTGCTTCAAGCATCCTGTCTCTGCTTGTAGACTGAAACTTTGGTACAGAGAAATTAGATTCTCCCCAAATTTCAGGTCAACAGATGTCATCCAAAAGCCATTTCCCCAGTAGGGGGCGCTCCTGAAATACTGCTAGAATATGACAGTGGAATAATCACTTGGAGAAAACAGTACTTAAGGCAGAAATAGGTGAGGGAACCTCAGACCCATGTGGTTTTTAGATTTAAAAAGTCCTAATTCCCTAGATGCATTATCAAAATTATCAGTAAAGGGGTAAATTGGACCTGCAGGCTTCTTTTGCAGAATTCTCTAAGAAACATAAATTACAGATATTAGCATCTCAGTCAGACACCAAGAAATAGAACAATCACTACCTTGAGGAAACACTCTTAATGAAAAGACAAGTGATACTGCTAATGCAAAGTTAAATTACAGAAAAGAATATCAGAAAACATGAAAAGCAGCTCTCAACTCTCATGTGGGAGGGCCCTGCTGTTCAATGGGGGGGGGGGGGGAGGACTGGGAAACAGGAATGGAGATGACAGGACAAGGTGGGCCTGCAGCCGAGACGTGGCAAAGAAAAGACCATCTGCAGGGCCTGGCGGCAGCAGTAGCAGCTTCACCCTGGGAAATTTGGGGGAAAAAAAAAAAAAACAGATTATGAACAGACATGAACTTCTTATTAAGACACTAGCAGAGGGAGATGAAGAGATTTCAAGCTGGAGAGTGAAATAAGGGGAAAAGCTTAAAATTATTTATTTGACAGTCAGGACATTGTGGAGAAAACGGCAACTGGAGGTAACAAAGTGCTCCGGTTCCTGCTATAAATTCTTCATCATTTTCCAAGGTTCCTGCCTGATATTGGTGTCTAATCTCCTTCCTTTTCCACACCTTCTCTCCTGTCTACTAAGAATAACAATAATAGCTAATATTTACTACTAAGGATCTGTTTTCTGCAAGCTAGTTTTTTACAGACATTCTCTCACAAAGCAAAACCCAGCCTGGTAAGAAACATCAGTGTTCTACTTGTGACTGATTCACATTGCTGTATGGCAGAAGCCAATGCAATACTGTATAGTAATTATCCTCCAATTAAAGGAAAAAAAAGGAAACATCAGTGTCCTTTTGCTGATGAGGAAGGGTAAGGAGCACGCCATCTCTTCACAGCTGTTAAGTGGTGAAACCAGAATCTGATCACTGCACTGTTTAACTTCAATATCAATATTCTTTTCTTTTCTTGTGGTTTAGTCACTAAGTCCTGTCTGACTCTTTGCAACCTAATGGACTGCAGCAAGTCAGCCTCCCCTATCCTCCACTATCTCTTGGAACTTGCTCAAATTCAAGTCCATTAAGTTGCTGATGCTATCTAACCATCTCATCCTCTGCCACCCTTTTCTCCTTTTGCCTTCAATCTTTACCAGCATCAGGGTCTTTTCCAATGACTGGCTCTTCACATCAGGTGGCCAAAGTATTGAAGCTTCAGCTTCAGTATCAGTCCTTCCAATGATATTCAGGGTTTATTTCCTTCAGGTTTAACTGGTTTGATCTTGCTTCCAAGGGACTCTCAAGAGTCTTCTTCAGCACCACAATTTGAAAGCATCAATTCTTCCCCACTCAGCCTTCTTTATGGTCCAACTCTCACATCGGAACACTGGAAAAACCATAGCTTTGACTATGCAGACCTTTGTCGGCAAGGTGATGTCTCTGCTTTCTAATACACTGTCTAGGTTTATCATAGCTTTCCTTCCAAGGAGCAAGCATCTTTTAAGTTCATGGCTGCAGTCACCATCCACAGTGATTTTGGAGCCCAAGAAAAGAAAATCTGTCATTGTTTCCACTTTATCCCCTTCTATTTGCTATGAAGAGATGGGACCAGATGCCAGAGTCTTCATTTTTTGAATGTTGAATTTCAAACCTGCTTTTTCACTCTCCCTTTTCACCTTCATCAAGAGGCTCTTTAGTTCCTCTTTACTTTCTGCTATTAGAGTGCTATCATCTGCATATCTGAGGTTCTTGATATTTCTCCCAGCAACCTTGATTCCAGCTTGTGATTCATCCAGCCCCACATTTCCCATGATGTATAGAAGTTAAATAACCAGGGTGACAATATACAGCCTTATCACACTCCTTTCCCAATCTGCAGCCAGCCCGTTGTTCCATGTCTAATTCTGACTGTTGTTTCTTCTTCTGCATGCAGGTTTCTCAGAGACTGGAAAAGAGGCCTGGCATTCCTAACTCTTGAAAAATCTCCCACAGTTCACAGTGACCCACACAGCCAAAGGCTTTAGCATGACCGATGGAGTGGACGCAGAAGCTTTTCTGGAACTCTCTTGCTTTCTCCTTGATCCAGTGACTGTTGGCAATCTCATCTCTGGTTCTTCTGCCGTTTTTAAACCCACCTTATACATCTGCAAGTTCTTGTTTCATATACTGCTGAAGCCTAGCTTGAAGGATTTTGAGCAATACCTTGCTAGCATGTGAAATGAGGGCAGTTGTATGGTGGTTTGAACATTATTTGGCGTTGCCCTTCTTTGGTATGGAATGAAAACTGACCTCTTTCAGTCCTGTGGCCACTGCTGAGTTTTCCAAATTTACTGACATCCTGAGTGCGGCACTTTAACAGCATCATCTTTTAGGACCTGAAATAGCCCAGCTGGTATTCTGTCATTTCTACTAGGTTTTTTTGTTGTGATGCTTCCTAAAGGACACTTGACTTCAAACTCCAGGAGTTCTGACTTTCTCCTATGCCTTTAAAATTAAGGGAAGCTGAAGAAGACTACAGATAAGTGGTTTGTCTTTCTGAAATTAGCAACCTGTGGGAATTTTATGAATGACTACATTTCATAGTTAGACATCTTCGTGATATCTCCCTCATTTGCTGTTAGTCATATCTAGTGGGGAAAAACTAAAGATGGAGAAAACTAGCCCCCTGAAATGTCACTTGATTTTTTAATGTATACGCTACTCCTTCACACATTAAAGACACAATTATCTAATATCTGCTATCTACTAGGCATGGGGAATCATAACCTAACAGCAAAGGTGGAAAAGCTGTCTCAGTGACACACATTCACGTGCAACAGACGACTGAGCATCACTGTCTCACACACTGCCGTCTAACGTGAAGGACAGGATAGGAATAAACTTTACCTCTATGGAGCAATTACACATTCATGTGCAACAGACAGACGACTGAGCATTCACTGTCTCACACACCACCGTCTAACGTGAAGGACAAGACAGGAATAAACTTTACCTCTATGGAGCAATTACTGCATACACCTAGAGTTTCAGAAGGTACATTTCGCTAACATGACAGTGTGGCCTCCTCTTTCTTTAAATTTAAGGTCACTTTGATGTTAGATCATTTCTAACCTTGGTCATACATTCACTCACATACCTTCCTACAGGAGATGATAAATAGCAGAATGTCAGGTGTATACGCACCAAGTCGCTAATCCCTTTCCCTAACCAGTGAAAGCTTAGTATTAAAGATCAATAACGGACTTTCCTGGTGGCTCAGTGGGAACGAATCCTCAAGGTGACACAGGAGATGAGGGTTCAGTTCCTGAGTCGGGAAGATTCCCTGGAGAAGGAAACTGCAACCGATTCCAGTATTCTTGCCTTGGAGATCCCATTGGCAGAGGAGTTTGGCAGGTTACCGTCCATGTGGTCAGAAGAGAGTCAGACACAGCTTAGTGACTAAACAATAGATTAATACCATCCAAACTCTGATGCCACACTCATTGTCAATTACTTGTTCATGCACTTGTAACACTTTACAAAAGACGGAACACATGGCACCTTGCCTTCTTTCTCCTGGTTTCCTGCAAGTCTGACTGGGAGCTAGACTAAGGGTTCTAAATCACATCTGAAAGGGAATATATACCAATGTTCCCATACATATACACAAGGCATCTCTAGGAGGTCATTTAAGAGACTCAAACATTGATTCTCTCTGGGAAAAGAACCTAGTGGATGGAAGACAGGCTTTTCACTCTCTGGTATCTTTAATCTTGAACTATGTGAATGAATTTTCTATTCAAAACATTTAAATGAAGGTTGAAGAGTTACATCTGCGGCACCTACTCTCACTTCCAGACTGGACTTCTGCTCAGATGGACTTCGACTTGGGACCACAGCGGCTCTAAGGTTCCTGTGCCACGATTCAAAGGGCCTAATTTTAATCATACATGAGAAGAACTGTAGTGCACAACAACACAGTTTCTCAAAAAAGGTTTTTTTTCAAACTTTAACCAATGGAAGCAAAAACTGGGTATTTTCAACTTTGTATGAATGCACATGAGTTCCTCGTGGTAGGATTAGTGATACTCACCCTGATTAGCTTGTATCTCTCTACACTCCTCCTGTGGGAAGACCGCTCCCTCTCTTAATAGTGCTTCACTGTGTGACTAGCTTTGGCCAGCTGGAAAATGGAAAATGTGACTTAGGCAAAGGCTTAAAAAGAGCTTATGTACTGAGACTTCCTACAGGGAACCCCCTAACTATTATGGAAGGAGCTTGTGCCAGTCTGAGACGGTGAGATGTCTGTGGTCACCGCCCAGCTGCCACGGTACCGACTTCCACATTTACAAGTAGGAGTCTCCTAAACCAAGCAGCCTATACTCTCCAGAGCACAAGTGAGGTGTCCTGAACCTACACGGCCCACACCAAAAAAACCACCCGGGGACTGTTTTCAATGTCTATGTTTTGGGGGGTGGTTTATTTAAGTTCAAAAGCTAACTGATAAAGTCTACAATATACATTAAGATTCAACTAGAAAACAGAGTGAAGTAAATCTTGGAGCTATTTTAGAAGTTTCTCTTTTACTTAATATGTGTCAGATAGCTTTCATATCAGTAAAATTACATCATTATTTTTAACAGCCCCATTATATTCCATGGTAACATGATTTAACATTCACTACTTGATATATATTGTATAAAATTCACCTTAACTGACAACAATCCAAATTAAATTCTTTCCAGGATAATAATGGGGTGCTAACAATGATTAACTCACTGCAAATTCTACAGTACGATCAATTATGTCTGAATTTTTGGATCACATTCACAAGCAATGTATTCCTCACATTTCTCAGGAAAGCTTCTATCTCTTAGGTTGACATATTAAAATTTGTTTCCTCTTAAATCTCAACATTATGCTTTTCATTATACATTTCACCCCAAAGTTATTCTCCATCTTTCCTGAAATAGACATACATTCAAGATGACTTGAAGACTCAGAATTCCAGGACTTACCCAGTGGTCTAGTGGCTAAGATTTGACTCTCCCAGTTCTGGGGGACCAGGTTCGATCCCTGGTTAGAGAATTAGATTCCACATGCCTCAACTAAAGATTCCACATGCTTCAACTAAGACCCAGCACACCCAGATAAATAGATAAAAATTCTTAAAAAGACTCAGGATTCCATTAAATAGCTAAGTTCTAGCCACTGTGTCTTATGATAGCTACAGTAGTTAAAACAGGTATTATTCCCTGAGAAATTCACCCACACCAATGTTATCAATTTATTTCCCTGTTAAGCAAGAAAGACAATATCTGATGATTCATCTGCATGTCACAACTTCTGAGGCTGAAGATGTGAAGTTTATTAGTTTTGAGACAATTTATAGGTTGATCATCTATGTTGAAAAGAAATTTTATTTTTTTAATCTCACTCTTGCTTTATATTAAAAAGATCCATAACATATTTATTTGTATGAAATTTAAATAACATATATTGAAGAGAATTAGGTGCTTCACTTCTATACTTTATATTTAATTAAAATAAAGCCAAATATTTATAAATGCATTTTATTTTGTTTAGATTAGTTTTTCCAAACCAGTAGGTAGCAGAGATTCTCTTCAAACAGAGTCATATATGAAATCCAACTAAATAAAGTATAGTTGCCTGATTTTAAGGAGCCCATTTTGGGCAGAAGGTCTGAATAGACATTTTTCCAAGAAGATATACAGATGACCAACAAACACATAAAAAAACCCTCGACACTGCTAATCATCAGAGAAATGCAAATCAAAACCGCAATGACGGATCACCTCACACTTGTCAAAATGGCTACCATCTAAAAGTCTGAAAATAACAAAATGCTGGTAAGGAGGTGGAGAAAAGAGAACCCTTACACACTGTGGTGGGGATGTACTTTGTTGCAGCCACTACAGAAACCAATACAGAGGGTTTCAAAAACCTAAAAATGGAACTACCATATGATCTAGCAATTCTGCCACTGCATATGTATCTGAAGAAAACAAAAACACCACTTTGAAAAGATATATGCACCCCAATGTTCATTTACAATAGCCAAGCTAGGGAAGCAACCTAAGTGTTCATCAACAAATAAATAAAGAAGATGTTATATACATATCTACTTAGAAGTTGAAATTTCTAATGTAACACAACAGTGTGTATTTGCATTTTTCTGACAAGAAGGTGTATATATTTTACAAGATTATCAGGAGCTGAGGTCACAGAGATAATTTAAAAATTGGCCCACTGGAAAAAAAAACTTATGGTATTCTTTAAATCACATTCCCCTGACATTCCTACTTGCGTGCACTATTCCCTGTATCAAAATATCTTTCATTTCTCTTTCTACCCAAAACACTGCTTGGTTTGAACCTCCCTTCTGGGAGATACCCTTTCTTACTTTAAAAAGAAATGTACAGTTAGGTACCTTCCGTGAATTCTCATAGCACCTGTGGCTCTCATATTATGTATATTATATACGAATATACACACATTCTGTCCTTTGAGACTGAGTTGCCGGAAGACAAGGATTTTATCCTGGTGTAAAAGGTGGAATAACACATTCCCAAAGATACCCTATTCCCTAAAACCAGTGAATATGCTAGCTTATGTGGCAAAAGGGACTTAGCAAAGGTGATTCAGTTGGGGATTCTAAGGTAGGGAAGTTGTCCTGGTTTATCCTAGTGGGCCCAATGCAACCATGTGGTCCTTATATGAGAGGAAGAGGTGGGTCAGAGTCAGAAAAGGAGATGTGGCCATGGAAGCAGAGGCTGGGGTAATCAGAGAAAGGGGTTCGTAAGCCAAGGAACACAGATAGTGTGCTGCATTCAGCCTAAAAGACTAGGGGCAGGCTAGGACATGCTCCCTTTCAGAGCCTCAAAAAGGAAGGAATGCAGTCCTGCTGACAGCTTGATTTTTTAAGACTTCTGAACTCTAGAACTGTAAGATAATTTATTCTAAGCTGCTAAATTTGCAGTAATTAATGACAGTAGCACAAAAATACGAGTACACTTGATAATGTACACTCCGTCATAGTGTAATAACATTCTACGGTGACAAATGATAACTAGACTATATTGGTCATTTTGTAATGTATAAACATATCAAATCACTAGGCTATTTACCTGAAACTAACATAATATTGTAAGTTAATTATATTTCAATAAAATAAAAAGAAACTGGTGCACTTGGTAATCTGTGTATTCTAGATCCTAGTAGAGTACTGAGTTTAGAATAAATAAACTTTTCCTAGAAGAATTTCTCTCTAGAGCTAAGTGTGGCTGAAGTCCTGACCATGTTCATTACTCATTTTATGCCTAAGCTAAGTAGCCACTATTGATTAGTAATTTAATCAAATACTCTTTCTTGACTATTTATGCCTGGCTCAGACGGTAAAGCATCTGCCTACAATGCGGGAGACCTGGGTTCAATCCCTGGTCAGGAAGATCCCCTGGAGAAGGCAATGGCAGCCCACTCCATACTCTTGCCTGGAGAATCCCATGGACGGAGGAGCCTGGTGGCTGCAGCCCATGGGGTCACAAAGAGTCGGACACGACTGAGCGACGTCACTTCTCTTCCAAGAACCATCTGTCTGAGCCCTCTTGACCTCTTGGGAGAGACAGGAGGATACGAAGAGTGAATCAGTTAAGAAGAGTGGTAGACTGTGGTCCTGTCTCTGAGAAAGTAATAATGATTGATTTAGGATCTGAACTATAAGCAGCTTTTAATGAGTCAGAAGTTCAGGAAGAGTATTCAGCCACTGGAGGTGGATTTTCATTCATAAAGGAATGAAAAGAAAATCAGATTAACTGAAGGCTCTAGAGAGCAAGGAAGAGAGGATGTGACATACAGAAGATACAGGAAGAGGAAGATCCAAAAGTGCCTTATAAAGGAGTCCTTACTGGCTGAGAACAATGGAAAAGCACTGAAGGGGTATGGGTGGGGATAAGGAATGACAAAACTTTAGGAGTCAAGATATTGGATTAGGGCAGATGTGCATTAAAGGGAGGGGATCTGAGGATTTGCTTCTTTGTTTTAGACAAATTTTTTAATTGAATAAGAAGACCTCTGCTAATAATAAGAGAAAGAATGTTTACATATATATAAAACTGAATAGCTTTGCTGCACAACAGAAATTAACACATTTAAATCAACTATACTTTGATAAAGAATCTTCTTGCAATACAGGAGATGCACGTTTGATCCCAGGGTCAGGAAGATATCCTGGAGAAGGGAATGGCTACCCACTCCGGTATTCTTGCCTGGAGAATCCCATGGACAGAAAAACCTGGAAAGTTATAGTCCATGGGGTCACAAAGAGTCAGACATGAATGAGCAACTAACAGGCGCGCGCGCGCACACACGCGCACACACACACACACACACACACACACACACACTTCAACAAAATAAAGTTTTTAAAAAGTCAAGCCTTGTTTATCTATAAATTTGATATCATTCCAATAAAAACTCTAAGAGACATTTTTTTTTCTTCTAGGGGGCATTTTTTTTTCTTCTAGGAGCTAAACAATTTTAAACTGTATATATAAAAATAAGTAATAGCTTAGGGAAAAAAAAATTTAAATAAGGGTATGAGAATATGCCACTCCAAAATATGCAGCTTTGATATATGATTTTGAGCTTTTTCATTGTTGATGAAAAACAATAAATACAGGGAGAGGCTTTCTCTGAACTCCTAATATCTGCCTAAAGACAAAAGCAAAAAGGAGCTCAGGTGTCATAAAGGCCCTACCCAGGAATTTCATCAGTCAGGGAAAACTGACTCATCACAGGAGAGGAGACTAGAAGCCAACATCAAACTCAGTCATAAACTGTCATCAGCTCAGTTCACCTCAGTCACTCAGTCATGTCCGCCTCTCTGTGACCCCATGAACTGCAGCACGCCAGGCCTCCCCATCAATCACCAACTCCCGGAGCTTACTCAAACTCATGTCCACTGAGTCGGTGATGACATCCCACCATCTCATCCTCTGTCATCCCCTTCTCCCGCCTTCAATCATTCCCAGCATCAGGGTCTTTTCCAATGAGTCAGCTCTTCGCATCAGGTGGCCAAAGTGCTGGAGTTTCAGCTTCAACATCAGTCCTTCCAATGAATATTCAGGACTGATTTCCTTTAGGATGGACTGGTTGGATCTCCTT